GTTAAATTAGTAACGCTTACAAAAGAAAATGAAATCAATTAGACCAAGAGAATACCCTAGTTATGTTACCAGCAACAATATTTAAATAAATTTCAAGAAAGAATTTCATCCAGCAATAGGATGATTTAGTAGCCTCCATACCTCAGTGTCTCATTTCTAATAGGAGTAATAGCCATATGGGGCTTCCCAGGTGACTTAGTGATAAAACCACCTGCGTGCCAAGGAAAGGGATGCTGGATATGCAGGTTCAATCCCTGGGTCAGGAAGATCCCCTGGAATAGGAGTAACAACCCACTCCAGTATTCTTGCCTGGAAAATTCCATGAACAGAAAAGCCTAGTGGGCTACAGTCCATGGGGTCAAAGAGTCATGGGCTACAGCCAATGAAGTCAGAAAGTGTCAGACACAATTGAGCAACTGTGCCTAACAACCACACACTGACAAAGTAATCAACCAAAAACTGCAATGAGTATATTCAAAATCAATTTGAGTAGTTAAAAGGTTTTTAGGTTTTCAAGACTTTTCTAGGGCTTTCCTGGTAGCTCAGCTGGTAAAGAATCCACCTCCAATGCAGGAGACCTAGGTTCGAGCCTTAGGTTGGGAAAATCCCTTAGGAATAGGCTACCCACTCCAGTATTCCTGCCTGGAAAATTCCATGGACAGAGGAGCCTGGCAGGTTAGTCCATGGGCTCCCAGAGTCAGACATGACTAAGTGACTCACAGCCACAAAACTTCTGTTTCTATGTAGCTGTTAAGAAGTAGTGCAATGTTTTCATTTTTCAATTCAGTAACTTTTTTACTTATCCTTCAAGATCTCAGCTATTTCTGACAAATAATCTTCTCTAGCCAATCTAAATTACATCCCTTTCACTCTTCCTGCTCACAGCATCCTTCTTTCCCTTAAGACCACCAGAACTCAAAATTTTATCTAAATGCATAATTTCTGGGTTTAATTAAAAAATTATCTAAACTCAGCATCTAGTTCCCCCAGTAGACTATCAACTCAAAGGGCAAGGACTGTATCCGTTTTGTTCACAACCCCATCCCGTGTGTGAAACAGAAGTGTCTGGCGCCACCGTCCTAGTCTCAGTGTAACACTTGTCAAATTGTTAGTCACTCAGTCCAGCCCAACTCTGCAACCCCACAGACCACAGCCCACTGGGCTCCTCTGTTCATGAGATTTTCCAGGCAAGGATACTGAAGCAGTTTACCATTTCCTTCTCCAGGGGATCGTCCCAACCCAGGGATCGAACCCAGGTCTCCTGCACTGCAGGCAGATTCTTTACCGACTGAGCTACAAGGGAAGCCTTAGTCAAATTTTCATTAAAAAATTAATCACATCAGGGACTTCTCAGTGGTCCAATGATTAAGAATCCACTTTGCAATGCAGAGGATGTGGGTTTGATCCCTGGTCAGGCAACTAACCCTATATGCCACAACTAGAGAGCCCCTATATGTGCTGCAATGGGAGACAGTGATGCAACTAAGATCCCATGTGCCACAACTTAGACAACAGTAACAGAGCCAAATGATTTTTGAAAAATCCGTATCAAAATAAAACTTAACAATTTCACCTAAATTACTAGCGGTATTCACTTTGAAAAAATTTTAGCAGTTTCTTAAAAAGTATACACTTGCCAAGAACGATAAGCAATCCCACTCCTAGGTTTTTACACAAGGAAAATGAAAACCTATAATCACACACAAACCTATGTGAATGTTTAGTGGTTTATTGTAATTATCCAAAACAACCAACGTCCCTCAGCTGTAAACAAGCTTAGTTATTAAAAAGGAACAGATTACTGATACATGCAAAACAGATCATCTCAAAGGCATCATGCTAAGTGAAAGAAACCAGATTCAAAGGCTACATATGGTATCAATTCAGGTATGTGACACTGCTGCAAACAAAACAGGTAAAGAATACAGATCAGTAGTTACCAAGAGTAAGAGGTAGAGAAGAGATCGACCACACAAGGGCAGGGGAATTTGGGTGAGGGGGAAAGGTGATGGAAATATTCTATACCATGATTGTGGTAAACTTTTTTGGTAAACTTGATCAAAACTTGCAGAATACTTTTACAGGGCAAATTTTAGGTTAAGGCCCTCAATTTAAAAAGTGGTAAGAACTTTAAAATAGTCCACTAAGTTTCCTAATATTATTGCTTACTTGAAATATTAACATGATCTTTGCTGTCACTGAGCACTCAAGGCTTGGACATCCATGGGCCTGCTGAAGGTTGTCCAAGACATTTGACAATTTCATTAACCTCACTCATTTCTATTAACAGCATGACTACATAGCATAACCTATTTAGAAAAGAAACCCACATGACCTAAATTCTCCATTGGATCAGAGGTCAATGACCTTTCAGAAGCCATGTGGGAGTTTCCAAACGTTTTTTCTAAATCACTATCACCTGAGCAAGCAATGCAACTTCAATTGTGATTTAACTATTCTAGGAAGTTTGCCAGAGGCTTGCGACAGAGGACTCTGATGCCACCTGGGTGAGAGAAACTTTAGGTTTGGAAGAAAAAAGGACAGAAGTCATGAAAAAGCAAAACCAGATCAGAAAAATTTCAGGAACGTTGCAAATAAAGGAAAATACATTTCATTCCACCTTCTTTCTCATATCAAAGAGCTTGCTCTTCTCCCCTTATCAGAAGATTGAGAACTCATGCTGGTCATTCCTTTTAAGATACAAGGGAATAACTAACACACCTTTAATAATTCTCAACTGACTGTACATAGTCCTGCAGCATTTCACAATGACACTGAACACCTATCAAACAAAAACATAAAAGGACATCTTGACACACAAGTTTTCACCCTTTTTCTAGAGCTGCCCGTTTCAGAAACTGTATAGAGCCAGAAACAGCCTGTTTTGGCACGAGTTCAGTGCTCAACCTAGCAAAAGGTAACCAAGGTAAATATACTTTTAATAAAAATAAAATCCATAGTCCTGCCCTGGTATTATATATCCCATTCTGCAAGTTACTAATAATCAAGGTCTTCAATATATGCAATCTGCTTTTGGGCAGACCAGAACCCAATCAGATGAACTGCTCATACTCTTGAAAAAAACCACCAAAGCATAGTTAATCTGGCCAACTCATCCTATTCTAGACTGCCTATTCTGGGAATAGGATGAAGAATCTTTTTCAGAAATCAGACTGCCTCTCATATTCTGAAACCACCCAAGAATTCCTGGGGCCAAGTTTCAACAAGACTCCATTTCAACAGGGCAACTTTAAAAATGGGGTTTAAGGTCAAGCACCAGTTTGTTTTAGAAATCTTTTCTTCAGTCCATGTTCAAAAAGCAACTGTATAAAAAACTGAGCGAAACATTCATCCTGAACCTAGACTTTTAAACAAAGTCTGTAGTAACCACCAGTAGGTGGTGCTCACAGCAATTCTGTACAGACAAGAAATCTATGGTTCTAAGTATTCCAACTGTCTTGCTCTCCTTAAACTTAATGAAAGCCATTTTATGCAATGAAATCTTCGTTGTGAAGACAACTCTCTCCTGGTAACTGTCAGATTTACATCAGCTATTTACTAACAATCTTTATTCTTATCTCCTTTAATCAGTTAACACCATCTGTCAAAACATTAAGGGACAAGCTAGGGACCAAATCTTTTGTCATTTTAGAGCCCCTACCAATGGCCATATAAATCATTTTTACCCAGGAAAAATTGCAATCAACAATCTACCAGTCTACAGCTCACAGGATGCTTCCTATTCTCAAAAAAGGCTTCTAGAATGATATCTGGTGTGATTTCACTAATTTCAGATTAATTAATTTTCCTTTTGTATTATAAAAGCCAAGTTATCAAATACAGAATTACTCAGTTTCTGCAAATGCATAAGATTTACTATCAAAACCAAAGTTAACTTAGAACTACATTGCTTATACCCAGAAACCAATTATCAACTGACCACCTAGTTTTTCCCGTTTGTGACAAAGCCCTGCAATCGACAGGTAGGTTACCAAAGTAATTCCTTTGGAGTTAAGGGTTATTTTCATCCAACTGTCAAATTATAGCAACCTACAAATTACAACTTTCCAATTTCCTTTCTAGTTTTTAAAATGGCAGTTAAGTTTGAAAACATTAACCTACACTCAGATCCAAATGGGCCACACTTCCGCTATTTACCACCATATCTCCTCTCCAATGTAGCATTGTTCTCTTCACCCAACCATGCCCATTAGATGAGAATTCCTATATAAAGTTCATTTCTATTTAAGTGACAGGAAACACAATTAACCTCCAGCATCTTTTCTTTTTCCTAGAACCTGTATACAATTAACTCGAGCACGGCAGTACTCAATACTGTTTAAGCCTCACATTTTAATTAATTATAAATGTGAATGCACATCCTCATAACTGGGAAACTGACATTTTCTTATTTATGTAACCATACAAAATTTTATATGCAACAGGAGCTTTTATACTATAGAATCTGACCTTACAAACTAGCTTACAATAAAAGTTACTTTGCTCATCTGTCCTAATCTACAAAGTGTTGCACCAATGCTTAAGATGTTATTAAAACAGATGAGTTCTCTCAAAACAAGGTTAACAAACCTGAAGGCTCCACCCTAGAAATACAAACGCTTAATTTGAAAATTGTTTTACCAGAAATAGCTTATGAGCAACTCTTACCATAGTACTATAGCGAGTTACAGTGTTGACCAAAAGAAGACACAGGTTTCTCATTAAACTTTTTTTAATGGGTCTCAAATTCTGCGACAGATTTTTGGTCAAGTTGTTTTCATTAAAAAGTACTGATTTTAAAAACTAATAACTTAAACTGCCACACACAAAACATATGGTCCACAAAAACATTCTCCTTTCCTTCTGAAGGTTTTACGATGCATTGTTATCATTAACCAGTCTTTTACTATTAAATTTAAATGGCCAATTGAGACAAACAGTTCTGAGACCGCTCTTCCACCACTGATTAAGACTGGGGTGGCAGGTGTTGGGGATAATATTCATTTAGCCTTCTGAGCTTTCTGGGCAGACTTGGTGACCTTGCCAGCTCCAGCTGCCTTCTTGTCCACTGCCTTGATGACACCCACAGCGACTGTCTGTCTCATGTCACGCACAGCAAAACGGCCTATGGAAAACAAACATTGTATTACCATAAGACATTTTCCAAACCTTTAAAACCTCTACTTCTAAAGTTTTTAATTACAGCAGAAAAACATCTTTACCCAAGGGAGGATAATCAGAGAAGCTCTCGACACACATGGGCTTGCCAGGAACCATATCAACAATGGCAGCGTCACCAGATTTCAAGAATTTAGGGCCATCTTCCAGCTTTTTCCCAGAACGACGATCAATCTTCTCCTTCAGCTCAGCAAACTTGCAAGCGATGTGAGCTGTGTGACAATCCAGCACAGGTGCATATCCAGCGCTGATTTGGCCTGGATGGTTCAAAATAATCACCTGGAAAGAAGACTTGCATTTAGTTGAGTCTCAAAGACCCTTAAAGTTACAGCAGTAAATAAAAACCTGTCTCTAAATGTCACCTGAGCTGTGAAGCCAGCAGCTTCCATGGGTGGATCATTTTTGCTGTCTCCAGCCACATTGCCACGACGGACATCTTTGACAGACACGTTCTTGACATTGAAGCCCACATTGTCCCCAGGAAGGGCTTCACTCAATGCTTCATGGTGCATTTCTACAGACTTCACTTCAGTTGTTACATTGACTGGAGCAAAGGTGACCACCATGCCAGGTTTGAGAACACCAGTCTCCACACGACCCACAGGGACAGTACCAATACCTAAAGCAACATTTACAGCACTTAATAAACGCCTCAAAAGCAGACAAATTATACCAACCCAGACAAATTTCATGGTTTTATTCTACTTACCACCAATTTTGTAGACATCCTGGAGAGGCAAACGCAAGGGTTTGTCAGTTGGGCGAGTTGGTGGCAGGATGCAATCCAGAGCTTCAAGCAGGGTGGTTCCACTGGCATTGCCGTCCTTACGGGTGACTTTCCATCCCTTGAACCATGGCATCTAAAACAAGAAATGCTGTGTTACCATGAAACTAAACCCCCTTATAGAACTTAAGTCTTAAAAACTTGAAAATCACTTACGTTAGCACTTGGCTCCAGCATGTTGTCACCATTCCAGCCAGAAATTGGCACAAATGCTACTGTGTCGGGGTTGTAGCCAATTTTCTTAATGTAGGTGCTGACTTCCTTAACAATTTCCTCGTATCTCTTCTGGCTATAGGGTGGCTCAGTGGAATCCATTTTGTTAACTCCAACAATTAGTTGTTTCACACCCAGAGTGTAAGCCAGAAGGGCATGCTCGCGGGTCTGCCCATTCTTGGAGATACCGGCTTCAAATTCACCAACACCAGCAGCAACAATCAGGACAGCACAGTCAGCCTTTGAAAAAAAAGTTCACATCCTGTTAAACATAGTTCTTCAAAAGGATCCATGGTTTTGCCAGTGTAAAAACTGGCCCAAAGAGTAAGTTCCAGTAGTTTTTTTAAGTCTCACAAACCTGGGATGTGCCTGTAATCATGTTTTTGATGAAGTCTCTGTGTCCCGGGGCATCAATAATGGTAACATAGTACTTGCTGGTCTCAAATTTCCACAGGGAGATATCAATGGTGATACCACGCTCACGTTCAGCTTTCAGTTTGTCCAAGACCCAGGCATATTTGAAGGAGCCCTTTCCCATCTACAAAGATTAAGGACGATTACTTGGTAACTAAAACATGATCTAACTCCAGCATGAAATTTTCCCAAACTTGGAAAAAATGCTCGATTTCACTCACAACTGTGCATTTACTTTATTCTGAAGTTAACTGACTTAACAGCAAACTTTGCAATTTACCTTTTAACTAGTAGTCTAGACTAGTGGCTGGTTTTCGGAAATTACCACTCAAAGCACTTGGCTCAGCCAATATTCTCATCTTTAAGTTTGCCTACCTCGGCAGCCTCCTTCTCGAACTTCTCAATTGTTCTCTTGTCGATCCCGCCACATTTGTAGATCAGATGGCCAGTCGTGGTAGACTTCCCTGAATCTACGTGCCCAATGACGACGATGTTGATGTGGGTCTTCTCCTTTCCCATTTTGGCTTAGGTTTAACGGTGGTTTTCACGACACCTAAATTGGAAAGGGAGCGGGAAACACTTTAAACCACTGTCCGGAAGCTGAAGAAAAAGCTACGATCCAAACTCCAAGGGCAAATTCCAAGGAGCATTACAACCAGCGCCAAGCTGGCCCAACTCAAGTCTCCACCCATAAGCTCCACCGTCCAGAACCCCCTCCCCCACCCCATGTGTCGCTCTGGAACCGCGAAGCATCGAGCAGCCAGGACAGCACCCTGTCCGCCGCTTGGGGTTGGGGGGGAGTGGGGGTCCCAAGGAAGCGGCGCCAGGCAGGGACGGGCCCGGGGCCTTTGTGCGGGTGACTCACCGGCCGCTCCCCGCCCGGGCCGCCGCGTCCTCCATTTTGAAACCGTGCAACGGGGCCGGGGAGCGGCCATCTTTCCGCGCACGCAACTGGTGCCGGGCGGGGCGGCGCTCTCAGCTCGCCCGGCCGCCACGGCTCTCCCGCCCCGCCTCGGCCCAGCGAGGCCGCGCTGGCATGTGCGCCGGGGAAGCAGGCCCGCGCCGTCCGCGCCTCGCGGCTCCCCCCGACCACAGAACCGGAGAAGCGCCGAGAAGCCCATCCTATCAGCCCCCGGCCGGCCTCGGGTGCAGCGCCCCAACCGAAAAACCCGCGGCTATGTGGAGTTGTTCAATAGTTAGTGTGTGGCAGCGGGCTGGGGGGGAACCGGGCGGTAAAGCGAGGGGGAATCCACACGCAGCAGCGGTCACGGTGCCACAGCCCAGGCCTCAACCCAAGCACGAGGCGAAGGGGCTGTGAGAAAAGCGCAAGGCCTCGAACTCCCCACACCCCCCTCCCGCTCACACCCCGAAATTCGGGACAAGAACATGGTGAAGATGCCCACGGGGGCGGCAGGAGACACACGCACGCGAAGGCCGCGGCCGTCGGCAGAGGCCGGGCCCACCGAAGCCACACCCGGCACTCACCTGTATCCTGGCGGCAAACCCGTTGCGAAAAAGAACGTTCACGGGGACTACGGCACTTATATACGGTTCGCCCCCACCCTCGGGGAAAGGGGCGGAGCCAGCACACGACACCACTTTCCCAGTTTACCCCGCGCCGCCTCCACCAGGCACCAGTTCAATCTCCGTCCCCTCCCCCCACGTCTCGGGGACCGTGGACGATGTACGCTAAGCCCACTGACGAGCGCTGGGCGGCCCGCGCATGCTCCTCTCGATCCAGAGGACGAGAGCGGGTGGGTGGGGGGCGGGAACGAGCGCTCCCTCGATTCCAGGGTAGTGGGAGTTTATCGACGGTCCCTGGGCTTCCCCCAGGCAGAGGCGAGTCCTCCTTTTGTATGAATTACTCGCTGCCCAGCTGGGGGGTGGGGCGGCGAGGAGGCGGCCGGGTGCGGACGTCCAGAAGCTTCCCTCTATACCATTCCCAGTTTAACAGCAGAGACCGAGATTGGGGTGTCCCTTTACCGTCCCCAGCCTTGCCGTCTCGCGGGTTCCGGACCAACTCCTCGAGCCGCCTGCTGTACCGGGGCTGGTGCCTCACCGGCTCCTGCCCTCCGTGCCCCTTCCGGCTGGAGAGAAGTCTAAGGCCCGGGGATCCGGGCGGAGGGCCGATAGAGCCGGAGAATCCACGAGTGGTTCGGTTCGGAGGCCAGCAGCTGGACGAATATGCTCCAGGGGCAGCCTCTTGGCTTTCGCCATTCAAGCTTTTATTCAAAGTTCATACCACAGTCACGCCATGTGGTACTCCAGATGTCCAGTTTTTCAGTTTAGAATAGACTTAAATCCTGCAGTTTGCGTTACTTCTAACTAGTGTTATTATGTTAACGAAATCCTGAGTCTGTCTGGTCTCCTGGTACATTTTCCAGTGTGCACTCGTTTGATTGCAAGCATGGAAAACCTAAAAAGAATTTCTCATATTCAGCCTTTTCACATGATCTCATGTAGAGACTAAGATCTACAGCATCAGCAAGCTTATCCACCCAGTTTACAGTCTCCGACACTGCTGTGAAATCACTGCTTCCCAAAAATGGTCTATCCCGTTTAAGTAAATAGCCTCATTTTCCGTCACTCTGTTGATTGTAACTACATTTTAGGCATAAATCTAAGGTGAGACAGGATGAGGCCTTTTTAGTTTGGCAATTAGGGCACTCTCAGAAACACTCCGGCAGAAAAAGCTTTATCTTTAATGAGCTTAATTACTAGATCATTTTCTTGGAGAAGGAAATGGCAACCCACTCCAGTATTCTTGCCTGGAGAATTTCATGGACAGAGGAGCCTGGCGGGCTGCAGTCCATGGGATCGCAAAGAGTCAGACACGACAGTTACTAACACGCATTTTGTCTCTTCTTCCACATGTAACTTTTTTCAGGACAACTTTTTGAGCCAATATATTAACACATATTTGAGAACCTACTATGTGTCCAGGGCAAAGTGAAGCTCTGTGGCACGCGCAAAAGAAGCACCTCCTTTAGGAGAGGCACCCATAATCAAATTAGAAGAGGAAAACATATATAAAACAGTGGGAAGCAGATAAAGTCAAATTTCCATGGTGTTTACTTTCAATTTCATTCTAAAATATAGTTCTTCCAGTCCCAGCTTTCAGTCACTTCTCAGAATCCAAATGCCTTTTTTTTTTCTTTTTAAAAGAATGTCTTTTGTTACAGCCTTCCTACGTCTTGTTTTACCATTCTCTGTAGCCATACATTTCTAAAAATAAAGTTTTTCTTTCTTCATTAGGAGTCTGTAAGCTTGTTTTAACATTGAGATAGTTTTCATGAAAGAAACTAAGCTATATGAAGTTTCTCTAGAAATACGTGTAACATCTGTTTCTGGCCACAGAAGCCTTTTCTATAATGTCTATATTTCTAGCTTTTCTTCTTCCACAAATTCTTTCTTCACAGTGCGTTTTCCTAGTGTCCTTACCCAGTCATATGTGTGTGGAATGAAATTATCTTGATATGCTAGTCCATGTTTGTAATAAGATAAAGATGTAAGAAGTACAAGTGAAAATAAATCACTAGCAATAGAACAATGCAAATACCTCTGCTCTTATTAACTTGGAAATATTAATTAATGGCTAATCTCTTGGAACTAGATTCCCACAGTCATATTTGTGTATCACAGTGATATGAACAGTACAGTGTTATTTCATATTAAGATTAGGCTGCCACATTAGATTTATTATTTTACATGCTTCTTTACAAGACTTTCTTTCCATACTCTTCAGATGGTTTAGGTGTGTACATTATTGGAGGTCATACTAACAGGACTGACAACATTTTGAAAACTTAAAGAACCGGTTATTTAGTGACAGGAGGGAAGGAGGCAAAGACTAAAGACACCAAAAGTTGAATATTTCAAAGTTTTACATGAAATCCAGAATTGTAGTTAGTAGCTAATCGAAGAAAGAAAAGTCAAAATGAAAACAGATATTGGTAAGAGGAAAACATCCAATATAATTTCAGTTTAGAAGAAATAAAAGTGAGGCACGTGACCTCTGTAAAATAGGCACAATTAATTGAAAGTTGTCCCCAAGGCCTGAGCCTGCAGATCCGTATATACACTTTATAAATACCTTCCAGAGAATCCTTCTTCAAAATAGTTCCTAGGGAACTGCAAAATTTTACAACAGTCCTTGATGGGTCACGTAAGTAACCTACAGAGCACCACCGACGGGGTGCTTAGTCCTGCTGCGCTAATGGCCGAGACTTTAGAGAACTGGAGAGATCTCGAGCCATAGAGAGAGTTAGGGTTAGACGGCGGCCCCAAGCCGCTGCTCGGAGCAGAGCCCACGGCCGTGCTCCGGGCGGACGCGGAGGGCGGCGGGAAGCGCGTCGCAGGGCAGCCCCGCGCGGCTCAGGGCGCGCCGGCGTGCACGGGAGGGCGAGCTCGCGCCTCGCTGGCGCTTTGACACCTGTGGGCAGGCCGGGCGGGCGGCGGTCGCGGAATCGGCTCACTCAGCGCCGCTGCGGCCCCGCCCCCGGCCCCGCCCCGGCCCCGCCCCCTGCTTGAGGTCACTATCTGGACTCGGACGGCGGAAGGAAGCGCCGAGGAAGAGGCCGAAAACCCCGCGTGGCCTGGGCGGGGGATGGATTTCGTTAACCTCGCGCGTCCGCCCCTTTCCCTGGACCCCCTGTTTTGCACGTAATCCTAGCACCTCTTTTCCCACCGCGTTACAGCAGTCACAGTGTGCCTCTAACTTAGATACTTAAGTTAGATACTCTAACTTAGATACATTGTTGAGACTTATAAATATGTTTTGGGGATCGCAATATAAGGTTATTTTGCTTGAGATTTTCCTTTAAGTTGCTTATACCCTTCAGAGAAGCAAGCTGTTAAAATACATTGTCGTCAACACCTTTGCGACCCGTTTTAGGGGGAAAAAAAAGATCTTGGTAATAACCAAATAAATGTCTTCAGTACAATAGTGAACAATTTCTTTGGGATAGCTTTACAGTAATTGTGATTCACCAAGCGTCTTTCGGTATTGGCTAATCACTCTGTTTGGGGCCAAATTTAGAGCAGCTTTAAGTACTTACGTTTTTGCTGTGGCTTGCCACATTTTTATCTTGCCTCTGCCAGTTGAAAATTATTTTTAAAAGGGTAGTTTAGGAAATGATTATGCCAGGGAATTTGAACTGAGAATCCAAGTAAAATGGTACTTCAGAGTGTCAGGCACTGTTCTAATATTTGCAATATTTAATGTAATCCCAGCACCCATACTTTACAGATGGAGAGCCTGTGGGCAACTGAGAGTATGTGGGTAATAGGCAAATGCAGACATAAATTCTTTTTTCAAGTTTCGCTTTATTTCCGCGAAAGTAGTAAAATAAAATAGATCGCCTTGCTTTTTACACTTTATAAATATTGGAGATCTTTTCTGTGAGGACATTGTGTCCAGCAGAGCAGCATTGAAACCAAAAAAAATCTGACCAGAGAGCTAGTCTTGACTTTTACCAGCAGGTCTAGGCAGCACAGTCTAGTGAAAATTGCAGAGGTTT